CCTTTATGGCTGTGAGTTAGACATGACTATTGAAAAGTAGGAGACATGAAAGGTCCAGCTAGCTATCTTTGATCATAGGTGCCTGAGTTCTTCCTCCATGTCAGGTGGTAGTATAATAAGGTGAGCAATATTGAGGTTAGGCATCGGTCGAGTGCTAGGTAGGTGGTGGTGGGAGGGGGGAAATCAATCGACGAGGCTGTGAACTTACATCGACTGGGATGGTTAGGGCATGTGTTACGTATGCCCAGTCATCGCCTTCCTCGACGGGCAATGTTAGCTGATAAAGGGTCAGACTGGAAAAGAGCTAGTGGCGGTCAAACCAAAACATGGTTTCATCATTCAATGAAGCCAGACACGTAGGAAGGCGTAGACTTCCCGGTTGGGATCCTCGGGACGGTAGAAGCCAATGACTGAAGACAATTGGCGATGTGGTTCGATATCCTCGTTGTCAATAGCTGCCACAGATGCATCTACTTCTTATGACTTATAATACCCAATACAACTATATGGTTGTTCGATATTACTATTCTTTTTACCTTATATCCCTGTTAACTGTCTCTATTTTGCATTTCTCTTTACTTTCTTCTCTTGCTTTGTGGGCTACATGGAGTGTGGCGACTCGAACTGTTGCACATCGGTGCAAAGTTCTATGTTGAAACCAGTCAGTCAGTCCGTCAGTCAGTCACACTCGTGTCATTCAAATTATCACGAGTGGAAAACTGTGGTTTTAGTTACCTATCATTTCTATTTATCATATAGTCGCTAATACCTCTGTAAGACATTTGGTTGGTATAAAATGGTGTATAGAGTCATTGTTAAGTCTGTTAGTAGATAGCTTTCATAGCCTCATTCACAACACTAAACATGGTACTCTTATAAATCAACTACCGATGTCAATTTTTATAGCTTGGACGGATAATTCTTGTCCAGAAGTGTACATTGCATGTGTATTTTCTGCTTACAGACTGTTCGCAAATATGGAACGTATTTCCTGTTACATTTAGATGCACTTTATGATGTGTGATTGATAGCAGCTACCCAATCCAACATCATGTCCAATACAAAATTACAAAATTTCATGCCGGATCGGCCGTGGCCCGGATTAACAACGACCGCGCTTCCTGCTGCCGTGTCACAGGGCGGGAGTGATAAATCTGCTACTGAGACACACCAAACAAAAAAGAACGAACAAAAACAGGCCGCGTGTGACCGGCCTCAAGCAGTTGTCCCCTGGGCTCTGCGGTCACGCAACCAACTTCCACGGTGTGGGCAGCCGGGAAGTAACAATCGCCCTCACAATCCGAAATGCACACGAAACCTCTCTATTACTCACTCATCTTTGTCTTCATCTTCATCTCTATCATCTTGCCTTCCTTCCACTGATGCAACTCCTCGACTTGATAGCTCTCCACTTCCTCTCCACTCTGCGTCCACTAAAAACGATGGAAGCCAAAAAACCACCACCGACAGCCTCTTAAAGCCGCGCCACCAATTTCATATAGGAGCTCTTAATGTTAGGACACTTTGCCAAATAGGACAACAAGCATCACTAGCCAAGACCCTGGCATCACGAGCCATTGATGTATGCTGTGTTTCAGAAACACGCATACAAGACCCAAGTGTGGTTATTCACCTAACCCCACCTGGCCAACAGGTTGAATCTGCAAAATTCACCTTGAGGGTGTCAGGAGATGCCACAGCTAGTTCACGAGGATTAGCTGGCGTAGGGATAGCTTTGAGTACTAGGGCAGAAAAGACATTGCTTGACTGGATCCCGGTAGATAGCCGAATGTGTGCTGTCCGCCTGAACGGATCAGTAAGAAGGAGGAAGGACTGCACTACTCGCCGATGCCTTTTCGTAATCTCCGCCTACGCCCCCACTGACTGCAGTTCAGATGAAACGAAGGATGAGTTCTACCAAAAGCTGTCTAGTTTGGTGGAAAGGCTAAACGCTCAGACATAGTCGTTCTAGCTGGTGACTTTAACGCTCAAGTAGGGAAATTGTGTCAATCTGAGAAGGATGTCGGTGGCACCTATGGAGCTCCGTGCCAGCGAACCGACAACGGTGACCGTCTCCTACAGTTCTGCTCTGATAATCATTTGTTTCTTGTAAGCACTAACTTTAAACACAAGGAGAGACACTGTTTGACTTGGAGACCCCCTTCATCAAACCAACGCTGGACACAAATAGACCACATAGCAATAAGCTATCGTTGGCGTGGGTCGGTAGGAGATTGTCGCTCCTTCTGGAACACGTGCGTAGATACCGACCATGCACTGGTCCGCGCTCGGGTGTGCTTACGACTGAACGGACGTAGGAAACAGCTGGCGGTAAAACCATCACGTCCCCAGCTCGATCAGGAAACTAAATCCGTATTTCAGGAAGAACTAGCTAAACACATATCTGTGTTCGACAGCTGTGCTCACCCTGAAGAAGCTTGGAAAAATATCCAGGCAGCCATAGATACAGCTGTAAAAGCTGTGAATAAGGTAAACCCAAAGGTGAGTAAAAACCACTGGATCTCCACCGCCTCATCCGAACTGATAGATGCTAGAAGACTTATTCCGGCGAGCTCCGAATTCAATGAGGAGCGAAAGCTGCACAAGAGGAAACTTACGAAAAGTCTCCGCAAGGACCGTGAACAGTGGTGGGCGACAAAAGCCAAAGAGATGGAGAAAGCTTTGAGGATAGGCAACACCAGGCAACTCTTTGGACTCATCAGGGAAACGGGTGGGAGAAGACAAATCATTAGTGAGACAATCTCGGAAAAAAATGGCACTATAATTAGCTCACAGGATAGACGACTGGATCGTTGGAAAGAGCATTATGAGGAGCAGTTTAATTTGCCCACAGCCACGCTCAACCTTCCGAGCATCCAACACCTCCCTGAATGGGATATAGACACAGGTCCTCCGTCACTAACTGAGGTTACTAAAGCTGTCACCAATCTGAAACTAGGCAAAGCAGCGGGACCTGATGGAATGACGCCAGAGGTATTTAAGTACGGTGGAGACAGCTTACTGTCCGGATTAACTGAGGTACTAGGCAGCGTCTGGGAATCAGAAGAAGTCCCATCGGGTTGGTGTAAGTCACTGATTATCCCCATATACAAGAAGGGAGACAAGTCTTCCTGTGATAATCACAGAGGGATTAGCTTGACTAATATAGTATCTAAAGTCTTAGGCTCAATAATCATGCGTAGACTGAGTGGTGCTCGGGAAGCACAAACACGAGAGAGCCAGGCAGGCTTTAGACCAGGAAGAGGGTGTATTGATCATATCTTCACCCTCCGACAGATTCTAGAACATAGGCATTCCTACCGGCGTCCAACAGTCATTATATTTCTTGACCTAAAGGCAGCATTCGACTCTGTCGATCGGGAAGTTCTCTGGAGATGCTTGGCTGTAAAGGGAATTCCAAGAAAATATATTGCACTGATTAAGGCACTCTATTCGTACTCATACAGCCAGGTGAGGGCTTACGGCGAGCTGTCATCTGAACTGATGACGACCAGTGGTGTCCGTCAAGGATGCCCATTATCTCCTTTTCTATTCAACTTCATCATAGATGTGTTAATGGACTTAACCCTAGGTGACTTCAGCGACTCAGGGATTGACTTGCTACCGGGGAATAATCTCGTTGACTTGGAATATGCAGACGATATAGTCCTTCTAGGCGAAGACGCTGACGAAATGCAGAGTCTTCTAAACACCTTGAGCCGCAATCTACGAATGTTTGGCATGCGATTCGCTCCCGCCAAATGCAAGATGATGTTACAGGACTGGACTACATCGACGCCTAGTTTAAAAATAGGAAGTGAAGTGGTAGAGCACGTTGACCGCTTCACTTATTTGGGAAGTACCATCAGCCCCAACGGGCTGATCTCTGACGAAATCTCAGCACGAATACAAGGGGCTCGTTTCGCATTTGTTAGTTTACGCCGACTCTGGCGTAGACGAGATGTTCGACTATCGACCAAAGGGCGGGTGTACTGCTCATCAGTCCGCTCCGTCCTCCTTTATGGTTGTGAGACCTGGCCACTGAGAGTGGAAGACATGAAAAGACTAGCTGTCTTTGATCATAGGTGCCTGCGTTCTATTTCCCGTGTAAAGTGGCATAATAAGGTGAGCAACATGGAGGTTAGGCGTAGAGTTCTAGGTAAACAGGGGAAATCAATCGACGAAGTCGTGAAGCTACAAAGACTGAGATGGTTAGGACATGTGTTACGTATGCCAAGCCATCGCCTCCCTCGACGAGCAATGTTAGCGGATATAGGGTCAGGCTGGAAAAAAGCTAGCGGCGGTCAAACAAAAACTTGGCATCAGTCAATGAAATCCACAACAGTTGGTCTAAGCCACGTAGGAAGGTGTAGACTTCCAGGCTGGGGTCCTCGGGACGGTAAAAATCTATGGTTGGAAACAATTGGTGACATGGCTCAAAATCGTTCTCAGTGGCGCAGATGCATCCACTCCCTGTGACTTATGATCTTCAATGAAACTGTTTTGTATTTCTTTATTACTCCTTTGTCTCACACCTCTGCTCACTGTTTCTATTATGCTTTTCTTGTACTTTCTTCTCTTGCTTCGCGTGCTACACGGAATGTGGCGACTTGAACTTCCGCACATTTGTGCAAAGTTCTATGTCGAAAACAGACAGACAGACAGTCTTTTTAGATGCCCAATTTGTCATTACATTCAGATGGTATCAACGGTCTTCAAATGATAAATGCGACTTATAACGCATTACCAGAATATAAATTCACCGGTGTCTTATTATTGGTTCACTTATTCCCTTCTTTCCCGCTTCTTCTTCTTATCTTTTTCAGATTCCTGTAATACTTGACCAGATTATCATTACCTAACCGGAATATGCTCTTCATAAATAACATCAGAAAACAAAACCTCTTCAACTATTAAAAATACTAAATTCTAGTCAATATTAACTAGTAAAGTGTTATTCACTGTGTCTGTGTGCGAGCGTGCATTCGTGTATATACCGTATGGAGAATGTGCTGAATTATATTGGTCTACTGACTTCTGGTTTATCACTGTCATTCATTCTCCTGCTATGCTTTTGTTGGAATAAAAAGCATAGGTAAGTTTAAGAATACTTTTACGCCTGAGTACTAATCTAATCTTCCTGTTTATAGTTTATTACCAAAACGTAGCAATTCAAACAGTAATGTTAGCATCAAATCATTTAATCAGGTGAGTGTATATAACACATGATTTTCTTGTTAAATTCACTTATGTATTCCTGATGGACGAATACTCTTTTTCTTATAGGATTTCATCATGAGCTGACATCGATTGGAGAACCACTGGAAAACCTGGGTGTACTGGACAGCCAGCTGTTTCGTCCTAGTTTGGGTCTCTTCATCAGTACGCATCCCGGTGGGCCATTGGATCAGGTCCCAGTGGCCTAATGGTTTACGAGTTCGCCTTGTAACCAGACCAGGGGACAACTGTTTGAGGCCGGTCACACGCGGCCTGTTTTTGTTTGTTCTCTTTTGTTTGGTGTGCCTCAGTAGCACACTTATCACTCCTGCCCTGTGACACGGCAGCAGGAAGCGCGGTCGTTGTTAATCCGGGCCACGGCCGATCCGGCATGAAATTTTGTGATTTTGTATTGGACATGATGTTGGATTGGGTAGCTGCTTTTTGTTTAACCGCTATCCAAACAACCTTTCTGGCATGGTAGGACCTGAAGAGACATAAGCCTCAGCCAGTATAGCTTGATTAGGTCATTGCGGTGTTCAAGCCCGACCACCACGTCAAGGTAGCAGCTTTCGGTCGGGCCTTGTAACCAGAAGGCCCTGGGTTCAAACCCCGGCAGGTGCATGCTGTTGAAGAGTCCCAAACTAGGACGAAACAGCTGTGCAGTACCCCAAGCTGGTTTACACTGTTTAGCTCATGATGAAATCCTGTAACCAATCAATCCAATCCCTACAAACCAATAATTGAGTACTTTTTTGAATGCTTAATAACTTGTTGATAACGTTTTGTTGGTTTTGCGTCTATGATTCATATGTGGAATGCTCGCCAGCCATGCACACATGGTCCCGGTATTAGGTCCAGGAAAGAGGGGAAGTTGGCCACATGAAGTTAACAATCCCACCCTGTAAAAACAATTCAGTTGGTACTGAAATTTTAAAGATTAGAGCTTGAAACACAAAGGAATGAGCAAAAAAACATATTGACAGATTGTACATTTTACTGTTTCTTCAGAGTCTGAAGAGATTCATAGTGATGATTTAGTAACCGTAATTACTGGTGAATGATACTAAAATTCTTGAAATGAAATGGTTCAATCAAAATCTGCCGTCAACCCATGAAGCCTGTAACTTTTGGTTTCAGCCACATAGGGATATATAGACTTCTTGGTTAGGTTGCTAAAGCCGCTAAATTCCACTGGTTTGAGATATCTTAATGATTCGGCTGTAAATCATCCTGAATGGGGCTCACATGTATTCACTCTTCGTAAACTTTAGGATCTGCTAAATACTCATGTTTCTGCCAATTCACGACATAGCGCGACCATTTCGCAATGTCTTCTTCGACGAGTTACTGCCTCATCTTCAACCTGCTGTACCACCTACTGGTCATGGTTTCTGACTAGAGCCCTCAGGCTAACTGCCTGAATAGGGCCAGTCGCTAATGAGCATCAGAATTATTTTCAAATATTGGTTTATAGGGATTTTGTTTGATTCGTCGGAAGATTGCATCATGAGCTGATATCAGTTAGAGAACCACTGGAAAACCTGGGATTATTCACAGCACACACACATCGATTAATGATCGAACTCAGCACCTTCTGGTTACAAGACGAGCTCATAGACCATTGAGCCACTGGGACCCGATCCAATGGCCCATGAATTCTAACTTCTGCGAATTCATGACATAGCACGATCACTAACCAGTGTCTTATTCAATGAGTTACTGCCTCAGCTTCAACCTGCTTGCTGTCCAGTGGTTCTACAATTGATGTCAGCTCATGATGAAATCCTCCAACCAACCAATCAAACAAAATCCCTACAAAACCAATACTTGGAAATACTCATATCTTTCTCCATACTTCTGCTCTTGATAGTTCTTTCGAAGTTTTCTCATTTCTCCACTTTTTTGCACTACATAGAGAGAGAGAGTGTGTGTGTGTAGCAAATTGATGTGCTACACTTTTGTGCAAAGTTCTGTGTTGAAATTCAATCAGTCAGTGAGCTTCTCGTCTGTTCTCTTGTCCAGTTGACTGCACTGTTTGCAGGTTGTTGGTGTTACATTGTAGAGTGACACATGATTACTCCAAATCACATATTCTTCTATCTGTTGATTACGTCATCATCAGTATTCTAACGAATTGTAGCGATTAAAATCTCATTTTCATAAATTAAATAAAATTTATGAAATAATAGAAAAGATTTATAGCTCAAATGGATGTTTATTTCGGTGTAGTGTTGTATCCTCTAAGCTATGCGGTTTAATTGCGAAAGTCTTATTGTCCTTCTAAACAACATCTTCAGTGCTTATTTCAGCATATAATGACAGTCAAGTCTTCTTTAGTTAACTCTGTCAGGCAAAGAAAATTATGAATATGACTACGTTGCTACTGGGGACAGATATTTTGAGTACCAGACTAAGAACCAGACTTATTGTGTGAGGGCTGATGATACTGCCTCCCACCCCCCCAGTTGGCCAGCCAGACTGAAGTAGTACGTGGAGCGGACTGAAAGTCGAACGCTTAAGCCAACGAACCGCATCAGCGCTTTAGTAGATTTATGAATAAGTAAATAAAAGGGAGGCTATTTCCATTCAACTTTCAATAATCAATGTCAATCTATATTCTGTTTTAGAAAAACACTCAAGGGGATCAAAAACGTCATATCACTTGTCGACTGAAATGTCCCTTTCGAAGTGGTCGTAACCCGAATGTAGCTGATTTAACATCTGCTGCTGCTCGTACTCCTGGTGACGTCACATCCCCCAATCATGTTATAATTAAGAATTCAAGTCTATTCGACAATGAAGGCGATTTGGCGTATGCGACTACAATCGGATTAAGAGGTGGTCTGAATGATACAGATATTATATCACCTGGTTACACTCTACTACGGTAAGTGGTTTATTCTTTTGCGTATGTATGATTTAATCTATGCCAATAATTTGCTATTTAGTCGTTAATAATGACTGATTCCAGAAGGAAGTTGGCTGTAAAGTGAGATACTCGTCGGTGACATTCGCAAGCCGTGGCGTCATACGTATGTGGCGTGTGCGGTAAATGGATGCAGATTGATAGGAAGCTGCCAGAAATTGAAATCAACATTCTAAGTCAATGACTGCAGAGGTAGAAGTGTTTATTCTTCAAATCTGAATTTAGTTCACGTCGTGGATATATGAAATGATCTCATTGGACAACTTATTTGACCTTGGACCAATTGCCGACCAATCAAAACAGTTTGTCCCTCCACTGACCTAGCCGACTTTTAACGTGGTTAAAAATGCATAAATATGATGTATTATTCCTAAATAAAGGTCAGCCACCAAGTTTCTTATCTTTTGCGGTTACGCATATATAGCAGATTGGAAGAAATTAGAATTCATGGGCCGTCCGACTTCGTTTCAATGACTGATTGGTCAACAGACTCACCTTGTAATGTGTAAGTCCTGGGCATAATCCCCAGTGGATTGATTGCTGCGTACTGACGAAGAATCCAAAATCAGGACAAAACAAAAGGCCTAGTGTTCCTTGGTTACTTGGCGAAAAAATTATCATTTTGAATTTCTGTCTTGATCGGTTTCTTTCCGAGTGTTGGTTTGTGGAGATTTTGCTGGTTACAGGTTTGATCACGAGATGACATCAGCTGGAGAACCATTGGAAAACCAGGAAATACTAGGCATAGTTCCGAACTCTTTATCAGCACGCACTCACCGGGGTTCGAACCTAAGGCTTTCCGGTTACAAGGCGAGTTCATAAACTGTCCAGCCACTCGGACGTGATCCAATGACACATGGATTTCAAATTCTACCAGTTTGTGATATATATAGCGCAGCCACCAGCAGCCAACGTCTTTGGTTCGAACCCTGATGGGTGCGTTGTGCTGAAGAGTCTCATACTGAGACGCACACGGTTGTTCAGTATTCTCAGCTGGTTTTCCAATGGTTCTCTAAATGATGTCATCCCATGGTCGGAACCTGTGTAACAACAGAAGATAAGGGCCAGGCGACAGATCGTTTCATTACGGAAATCAGCACGTATTTATATATATTTTCATGTACATTATTATAGCTTGTTCAAGCAGACAAACAGTCTTTTGATTGGTTGTTTCTTGTTCAAGGTTATTCTGTACTGCCTGTGACTGGTCACTCAGAAAGTTAAGCCATATATCTGCGAATCGTATTTGCCCACGTTAAGTGTGCTGTGATTGGTTGTTGAATCAATCTTGTTCATATTTTCTCACGGCCAATATTAGCGACATAGACATTGATGTAAATTAATGTCTACCAATTGGCTAGCAGCCTGCTCTCACCACACCTGTAACGTGATTGATTTAATTTAATTGAGGTGTCAATTCTGTGCTGATGATATGTCTGCCCAAAGTACGGATGTTTGGGACAGTACACATTCAGGTTAACTAGTTGCTATTTGATCATCATTGAAATGCCATGAAAAGCAAAAAAAATCAATCAACACAAAATTCTAAATAACAGTCTCAACAAATCACCAATTTGCATTGTGTCCTATCATTCCTCGCCCAGAAATTATAAGGAAGCCTTATCTTCAGTGGGTAACACATCGCTAATGTTGATCATAACCGTATAATTTTAAGCCTTTCTTTTTGGCTTAGAATCAATTCCTTTTCGTTGTTGTTGTTGTTGCCGTTATTAAGATAGTTACATTTTGCGTCGGTTGCTCGAATCCACACACACACACACACACATAGACATTCGCACACCTTCACATACTGGCTTGCTGTCAAATTCAGGATACCACATTTTGATAAAAAAAATTTATAATGATTCGAAAAAAATTATGATTTATTTTATTTTTCCTTTTGAGAATATTGCGATTAATATATATCAAATATACAGAGACGTGCTTAACTGACGACTGTTCAAACGCACATGAACAGAACCATATGCATATATATATATATTCATGGGATGGCTTTTAATCTCCTTGAATCGATTCAAAAATTGATTTTCTAAACAGAGAAATAGATTCAAGGTAAACTCCTGCTAGGCGTTTTTCTTAAAACATTAAAACATGTGAAAAGAAGACATTGGGAGTTTAATGAGAAACATGAGGAAATGTTGTGTCGGCGGCACAGCAGTAGACCACGTGTATGTGGTCTGGGATTCGATTCCCGGCCACCAGCGCACTCCTTTGCCTCGCTAAGTCAGTGATTAGACTTGTAAAGAAGGAAGGTTGGACATGAGGCTGGCTAGGAACCCTATCCCGTAAAAATAAAAACACTAATGCTACCGAAACTTCAAGTCTCTCTAGCTTGAAGCCGCATATGTTCCACTGGGAACGTACAGGAATAAAAAAAATAATTGAGGAAATGTGAGGAAAGCGAATGAAGGAAAGAGAGATACGTCATGGGTTACCTGACCACTATTAACTTTCACCATGAGCTGATATCGGTTAGAGGAGACTCCAAAACTATGCCGAGACAGTTGTACAGTAATTCTAGGTTTTCCGATGGTTCTCTAAACGATGTCAGCTCATAATGAAATCTTGTCACCAGTCGAATCCCTACAAAGTAACACTTGAACATTATTAACTTGCTTCTAGCCTAACTGCAGTTGAGCCTATCGTGAGTATGTATCTCTAGGGGGAGAAATGCATAACATGACAGCCTTTTCAGTTGATAAAGGTTTATAAATTTAAAAGTTATAACTCATTTACTCCGGAACATATTTTTTACATATTACTCTACGAACAGGATGCGTCGGTGGTTCAGCAGTAGAACGTCTGGTCAACCACGCCTCAGGTGGTCCAAGGTTCGATCTCCGGCTGACGAACTCGTAGACCTCGCTAAGCTGCTAGTAACTCCGATAAAGAAGGGAGGTTTGGTGTAAGGCTAGCAACCCTATCCCGTAAAAATAAAACCATTTCTACCGAAACTTCAGAGCTCAAGCTTGAAGCCCTATGTTCCATGAGGAACATAAAAGAATAAAACAAAAGTCTATGAACAACAAAGAACTCTGGAAGGTAGCGGGTTAATCAACAACTTACTGCTCAACAAATATGCAGAAGTAAATGGAGGTGGATTAATTATCGGCTAAGGAGATCGTTAAGTGATACCACATACCAGACTATCCAGTGGAACCAAAATGTGAAGCGATAAGGGTAACACATTGAGAAGATCCTGTGAAGGGGAAGTGAAAGCTTTTGAGCGGCCAATCATGGGGTCATCTAAAAGAGTGAAATGGTGACGTGCCGCTGAGACTGTGTGTTCCACTCTGGTATTTTTGATCCAATTGCTTAGGGTGACGAATGTAGAGTATATCACCATTGTTGCTAAATGTCGAGCCATCAGAATAGCTTGCTACAACTAATCTAGGTGCGTTCCACATGTTTGGCTAGAAATTACATCTGTTTTAGCCACCAAATTTGTGCGTTTGTGTGTCCTTCTGCTATACACATATACACATCAAGAAGTAATACTTTTAATCTTTTGTCTGATTAACTTGACTGAGTTTCAAAATGGAACTACTGCACATTGGTGCTGTACACCTCCCTACGTGGTTTAAACCAACCAACTATCAAATACTTCATCGATTGATATCAGCTTTGGGTTTTTGGCGGCCACTCCCGTAACCCTCTTTCAACCGAATTGTATATCATGTATAGTCTTTTGATTTGTCTGTTTTCAAATAAAGCACTGATATCTGCTAGATGGCTGGAGAGAATCTGTCGAAATCTCCTGGACCTAGATTTCGCGCTTTCTAATAATTTTCAGCAAGGTGTATCCGCAGTCTCGAAGCAAATGGTATCCTACCGGAGATTCAAACCCGTATCATTCAGTGCTGCAGTCAGAGAAGTTACCAGTAACCTCCCCAACCGATAGCTGCTACCTTGACGCGACGGTCGGGCTTGCATATCGCAATCACCCAGCAAGTTATACTGGCTGGAAGTGATATTCCTGCAAATCCTACCATCCCAGGAAGATTGTTAGGGTAGCGATTAGACTAAAAGCAGTTACCGGAATAGTGTAGGAATTTTCTTCTGCACTATTCTGGGGGTCTGTGGGCGAAGTCGCACTGCTGGGGGACAGGGATGTAGCAGCAGTAAGGTGTTTCTCTCAGATAACCAGTATGCCAGTCATGCTGTCTCCCCACTCTGGAAAGAGGGGGTTAGAAAAGGTCAACTACAAAAATTGTACATCCCGACTTACCCTACGGTGGTCCGTAGGGTCCGGCTATCGACCAAAGGAAGTGTGTACTGCTCAGCAGTCCGCTTCATCCTCCTTTATGGCTGTGAGTTAGACGTGACCATTGAAAGCAGAAGACATGAAAGGTCTAGCTAGCTATCTTTGATCATAGGTGCCTGAGTTCTTTTTCCATGTCAGGTGGTGGTATAATAAGGTGTGCAATATTGATGTTAGGCATCGGTCGAGTGCTAGGTAGGTGGTGGTGGGAGGGGGGAAATCAATCGACGAGGTTGTGAAGTTACATCGATTGGGATGGTTAGGACATGTGTTACGTATGCCTAGTCATCGCCTTCCTCGACGGGCAATGTTAGCTGATAAAGGGTCAGGTTGGAAAAGAGTTGGCCAGTGGTGGTCAAACGAAAACATGGCGGCATTTGTCAATGAAATCCACAACAGTTAGTTTAAGCCAGTCAGCCACGTAGGAAGGTGTAGAGTTCCTGGTTGGGGTCCTGGGGACGGTGAGTACCAATGAAGGCTGGATACAATTGGTGATATGGCTCAAAATCGTTCTCAGTGATGGCTGGCTCAGATACATCCACTCCTTGTGACTTATAATTTCCAATGAAACTATATTGTCTCATATCCCTGTCTACTGTCTTTATTATGCATTTCTTGTACTTTCTTCTCTTGCTTTGTGTGGTACATGGAGGGTGTGTGGTGACTTGAACTGCTGCACATATGTGCAAAGTTCTATGTCGAAAGCAGGCAGACGCTGGTCCGTAACTGGCGGTAAATTTACAAATATGGGACCAGTGTAAGAAACCAATTCATACAGGCCGCGTGTGACCAATCTGCCTCACGCAACACTAACCCTCTTTCTGTTTCAGTTAACCGAAGGGTAAACAAATTTCCATGGTGTGGGGGCAGCCGGGAAGTAATAACCTTCGCCCACACACTTCCAATAGCAGACAAAGCCCTCCTGATCATCATCATCATCGTCATCACCAGTAACCCCATTCGAGTTGATGATTAGTCTCCTGTAATGATTGATAATGGACAATATTGATCCATCACTGGGGACTAAGTAAC